GTGGTGACAAATTCAGTCATCTGATGGGGTGTGATGCTGAAGCTCACCTGGTTTCCTTCTCACTCAGAGTAACTTTTTCTGTGAGGTAGTCAAACAGCTCTCCTCGCCTCATGCTGAAAAGGAAAAAATGAAAGTCTTAGGTTTTCACAAAAATGCCACAATTATTGAGATTCAAGTTTTAGGGAGGAATTAGAAAGACAATGACTTCATACTCACAGGTCAAACACCAGAAATATGAAGGTTGTGGACTCATATGAATCGTTGAGGGTAACTAAAGAGAATCAAAGATACATAAACCAATTTAAACATGATCAAATATTCAGAAACAGAAAATCTAGGTGTACTGTGGTCCAAAAATTGTATACTACATACTTATTGAGGGGTGTCCCTTCACCATGTTGAGGACTTGAATCTCTTTTAGCGTGGACGTTTTCACCTCCTCAAGTTGCTGAGCTGTCATCTTCTCTGCTGTGATCTCAATAATTTTCACTGCCAACTCCTGACCCGTGTGTTTGTGCACACACCTGCGTACCACACTGCTCACACCCCTAAGCCACCATTGACATACAATACAGCATTGATTTTTATCATTCCAAAAGAAATCGGAGATTACATTTCAGGTTCTTTTGCGTGACTCACCTGCCAAGCACCTCTTTGGGGTCATATTTCTGGTAAAACTCTTTAGCCCCCACCCAGTCTGGTAATTCATCTCCAAGAAGGATGTCTTTGGTCATGGTTACAACTTATGGATCTATATCAACAACAAACTATCAGCCACATACATGTATATCCCTTTGTAACAGTGCTGCATAATTTGTACAGGAATTTCAGAGCTAATTCCTGAAAGTGTCGTGTTTTGCTTCAGTTTTATTCAACATAGCTTGCGATTTAATACCTTGTGGTTTTATTGCTACTAATATATCTCTCATTTCTACTGTTATTTTGAAATGTGCCCGTGATCTACTTAGCTGGCTGTCTTTGCTTTAGCCTTGCTGCAACAGCGGGTTCACAGAATTTACCGGATGCTACTCACCATGAAATCAAAAGATATAAGCACGGGGAAACCGCGTGTAGAGGATGAGTATAACTTAATGGTAGGAGAAATCTACCGTGAAGCCATGACTGTGTGCGATTTAACAGCGACTATGCCGAAGTTAGCTAACGATCATTTTAACAACAGTTAGCTAGGCTAGCAACCGGACAGTGTTGACATTCTGGTCATGTCCCGTGAGAGCGCTTGTAGGATAACATTCCAGAGCGAGTACTGCCACCACGCGGCCGGAGTGGGAATTGCATTATGGTTGATATTTTATAAACATCATAAAATTGACATTATTCTTTGGTAACACTAGAAATGATGCGAAGTAGGTTTATTTTAAGACAAGACACACCAGTAACCCAATGACTATGTTTTTCTTTCAATAAAATAATTTGTTGTACAAAGTAAATAAAAGTAAAATATCGGCTCCTTTGCGGAAGTACATCGTCGTCAGTTCCTGTAGCTTTTCCGATGCCTTGAGTTTAATTTTCAGTCGATCCTTGTGAAGGTTTGTAATAACAATATTTTCAGAAAACAAGTTATACATTTGAGAGCGGGTGGGGCTTATTTGCAGAATATAGTACGGTTGTAGTGGTGGTCACTGAATAAACGTTCCGACCATCGGTTAAGAAATACGATGGACAAAGACCGCCGTATAAGCTAGTCGGTTATCGGGGAATTACCGAAACGTTAGCATTAGCATAGCTAGCGTTAGCAACATTGCTAATGTGCATTAATCTAAGCAGAAATGCCAAATTAAATATTGTTGGTAGCTTTTCAGCCAATGGTCTATACAACAGTAATCAACATAACCGTTTTTGAATGCAAATTTTCATATAAACTCCATAAATATCAAATAAAATCGATTGTCCTGCGCTTGTAAAGTAAGGCTAATGTCGTTGCTAACTGTCATTGAATGAGTTATCCATTTGCAAACAAATTAGTAACTTTAGTTCCTTAAGGCTGTCATGCCGTGTTTGATCTCTTGCAGGGGAAGGAAAGATGTCAGGTGCTGGGGGAGGAAAGCGTCCCTCGGGAGGGGACAGCCCCCCTGGCCCACCCGAGAAAAAAAGCAAAAAAGAGGAGAAGACCACCACCACTCTTATTGAGCCAATACGCATAGCAGGAGTGTCTTCTACGGTCAGTCTTTTATTCTCACAAGTCACCATTTGTAGTCAGTTTATTACTACTTCTACCAAGATGACTTTATGCACAATAACATTTACAGTTCATGATTTGTCTCACTTTGGTGTCTGTATTTGCTCTGTGCAGGAGGAAATGGACATGAAGGTGATCCAGTTCAAGAATAAGAAGCTGTGCGAGCGCTTGGAGCAGAGGCAGGCAATGGAGGATGAGTTGCGTGAGAAGATTGAAAAGCTGGAGAAGAGACAAGCCACTGACGACACCACCCTGCTTATTGTCAACCGCTACTGGTCACAGGTACTTCTGCACATTTGATTCCACTATTGTGAGTCTTAATTTTCAGAAGTGTCCGTGTAAACACAAATTTTCAGCATGAATGCAACATAAGAGCTGTTGTCATTGTAGATGCTGCAATGAAATTTGTTTGGCAGTTCTGATATACAGCAAACATGTGTATGTAAATATTATCCAACTGTCTGCCTTTTGCTACAGTATATGTGTTTTATTTTGTTTTTGTACATGTAACAGTAGCTAATTAACAGTGCTCAGTTTGTGGAAGTATCACTGTAATGGTTCTCCGATGTTATTACAAGTTGCAGAACTCAGTTTTGGAATAGCACTGTTGATGATTTTTGTGTGCAAAACATATACAGATGGTAATGCTTTCACCAGAGGATTAACACGTTAAATTCTCTTGTTTCTGGTTTTAGTTGGAAGAGAATGTGCACGTGCTACGAAAACGTATTGAACCAGAAACTCCTGTGGCATCTACCCCTGCCCCACTCCCTGAACCCACACCAGTGGATGAAAATGGTGTCAGTCTGGCTTCACCAAACTCTGCTGTGCCCCCACCTCCACTTCCAGAGGCTGAGGGGGAGCAGACAGACCAGCAGCAGCTGGAA